CCCAAATTCTTTGTCATTAAGCCAGACTTTGGCTGCTTTCTGAAACTGGCAGAGTTTCCATTAGATCTTTCAATTTAGGTACAATGTTTTAAAATGTCATGTGAGTTTGTTTGTTGTTTTTTAACAGAGTATGCTTCTGCTGGCTCACTGTTTGATTACATTAATAGTAACAAAAGTGAAGAGATGGATATGGATCATATCATGACCTGGGCAACTGACATAGCTAAAGGTAAGCAAGATGAGCAGTGCATTACTATCCTGCAGAGCCAACAAAGTGTACAGCTAGAGATGCTTTCCCTATGAAGTCATGAAAGCCTTCCTATACTTCCTTATTCAAATTGTAAAAAAAAAAACCCAAAAAACCCCAACCCCCCAAACCAACCAACCAACAAACAAACAAAAAACCACTAACAAAACCAACGAAACATGAAAAAAGCAAACCCCATTCACTGTGCTTTTTAATATGTTCCTTGGTTATTATGAATCCAAAATAATTTCTGGAGTGAAAATGACTTCTATGAGCCAGTTTTACTTCTGGTTTGCCCCTAAGTCCCAAGAGCATAATTTTGCTGATGTAGAGTAATTATGAGGTAAAGTGCATAATTATCCTTACATTTGATTTGAATTGGGACATTTAAGGAAGCTAAGGGCTTATTCTCAGCAAACGTACTGAAATTCTTCATATAATAATGCAGAACAAGTTGTCTTGTCCTTTGTGTTCTCTGTGACCACACAAGAATTAGTGTAAACTAATGAATGAACAGTAAATTCATATCTTGGCTTCCCTGCGTAGACAACACCTTAGAGAAAATAACTAAATATGATGTTAAAAAGCATTAACATACCCATATAGATGCTCTGAGAGGTATATGAGCTTTGCTTAGTGTTTTTTACTCAAAGTAGATTATGGGAGGCTTTGCTTCTCCTGCAGCATATCAGTATGGCATACAGGATGGCAACTCGTAATGAGGACAGTTAATAGGAACCAGAAAACATGACTGCTGATAGGTGATGACCATGCTCAGCCTGCCTAACTAGATTGTTCCCTTGTTTTGTGTAGGAATGCACTATTTACACATGGAAGCTCCAGTCAAAGTAATCCACAGGGATCTGAAGTCCAGGAATGGTAAAGTAGCAAAACACTGAAACGCTTTGCACTTACTGTTACCTGTTAATGTAGTGCTTAAATCTGTACCTGAGCTTTGCGAACATGCAGAACTAACTAATGCCTTGGCTGTCATCAAGCTGCACTGGGAGTTGTTGAGGCACAGAAGAGCCTCAGAAGAGGGAGTTCCCTCCTCCCCATCCCGGGACTGTCTGAGCTCTGTTCCAATCCCTAGCATCATTTAGAGCACTGTGGAGGGCTCTTTCAACTTGTGTCTTGCCGACTGTGATTGTACCCATCTTATCAGCTGTCAGACGTTGCCTGGGCACTCCTCACTTCCTTTTTCTATTTGGAAAGGTTGAGTACCAGGAAAGGCTGGCAGACACCAGACACAATAGACTGGATAAGGCCCATTATTTCTTATCTGAAAATCTTGTCTTTACTGTGGCCTGTTTTGAGGTTTGACAGATATTCATGCTTTTGAGTAATATGCACTCAGTGTGGAGCTGCACTGGTTAGTCTGCACTTGGCAGTTGACGACCATTTATGAAATTTGCTGAATATTGCCTTTTAACTGAAACTTTCACTACTAGTAGTGGGATAGGAGGTACACAGATTTTTAATAATGTACATGGGGAGATAATAGTCAAGAAAAGTCTAGATCTCACCTCTGTTGTAAGTTTTCTCCTTTTATTAATGCATCTTTCAGAGAGCTTCTTGTTAAGCTTAACTACATTGGGGAGAATGGAGTTTATCTGTATTTTAGCTGTAGTTGTGTTGCTATCTTTGAACTCAGTAAGACCTGAAAGGTTTTGCGTTTGTTCAGAGGCTTGCAGGTATTCAGCAGATGTTCTCTAAAGCTTCTCAAAGAAACCAGGATAGCTGTGCATGTGTGCATGTTCAGGTACTGGCTCACGATTGGATCATTTTTCTTGATAAAAAGCAAAGTCCTTTGCTGTGTTTATTTTTAATAGCATTCTTGTAACCTATCGTTTTTTCATTTTCAGTTGTTATAGCTGCTGATGGCGTGTTAAAGGTATGAACACTTTAATTATTTGTAGAGAGATACTGCTGCTTGACTTGATGTTTTGATGCCTAATGAATGAGGTTGATACTCTAATATCTGTTTGGTTTTTATTTATTTTTGCCAGATCTGTGATTTTGGTGCCTCAAGGTTCCACTCCCATACAACACACATGTCATTAGTGGGCACATTTCCATGGATGGCCCCAGAAGTTATCCAAAGTCTCCCGGTGTCTGAAACATGTGACACATACTCGTACGGAGTGGTGAGTGCCTCTCATTTCTCTATGCGTAGTAGCAGATCTCTAGTGTGACAGAATTCATGTGGTGCAAGAACAACAATTCTAAATAAGGACAACAAAAATATCACACTTTCTTTCAAGACTGACCCATAATTTATAATTACATGCTTGAAAATGATAGGAAGAACAGTGTCTTGCATGTTCAGTAAGACTAATCTATCTGATTAGATTAGCAGCATGCCAGTGTGGGAAGTGCATGCTTTATCACAAGCATTCAGCATATGTCCGAGGGCTTGCAGGAGCCACTGAGCAATCTGCATCATGAATCTCTGCTTGTGTGTTTTAGTGGAACAGAAGAGAAAAAGGTTGTCTTGCAATAGGTGTGTAAGAGGATGAAATTATTAGGATTCCACTTTCCATAAAATGAAGTGTCACTGATTTTATATTAAAAAGTAAGCCGCTTCTCCATGCTTAATTGTTTAAAAGACCCTGCTATCATTAGCTGTGAGAATAGAGACTGTACCTCTTGTGGAGGTAGAGACCCCATCTAAAAATAAAGAAAAGGCCAGCATTGCTTTCCTGTTTTTTCTGAAGGGGGAACAATCAGTTATAGTTCATCAGAATGTTAGGTTTTCAGGTACAGTAATGTGAATTATTTCACTCCGTCCACAGTTAAACTCTAATTTGGTTTTGCTCTGCAATACAAAATAGGCTAGAAATAGCCCTACTGGTCAGACCAGTTGTGTACCTAGCCCCATAGCCTTCCTCTGACAGAGAACAGTAATGAATACTTTGGGGGGGGGGGGGGGGGAGGAAAGGAAGTGGGGTTGTAGTTTCCATGCATATCTGTGTATTAACCATTTTTGGTTTTGGATTCAACGGTGGGTGGCAGAATGAGGAATACTTTCAGTACCTGTCAAGTATTGCCTCGTTCTCTTTTTGAGGGATGGGAGGAGATAGATATGAGGGAAGCACTATGGTTTTAAGCTAGCACCTATGGCTATACATAGCCAAGCTGATGTCCCAATGGAAGATTACTTAAACTTTTTGCCAAATAGTTGTCTATAGTGAAAAAAAAATACGAGAAATGATGTGGCATCGCTTACAAATGAAAGATTGAAGGTTTGTAAGGAGGGAGAAAAAGCCTATATTGGCAGATTCAAAATCCTTGCTTGCTTAACTGAACTAGTAAGAGAACATAAGCTAACAAATGTAAATGTTAATATAAACTGTTACTGGAAGCAATCACATATTATCCACTGAAGGGAAACATTCCGGTTTCAAAACAAAGCAAAAATGTTAGAGGAGGAATTCCAAACATGGTCTTACAGCTCAAACTGCTCACATAGTCATCTTGGTGTGAATTGACTTTAAGTAACATACTAGAAGATAAGAAATTGTTTAATATCTTATCATGTCAAGTATTACCAGAGCCTTGGGAACAGTATGTCGCACATAGTTTATTTTTCCTCATCCAAAAAGTAAAGCTCCTCTGACAGTTCTGTGCTTGGAGGTAAAACTCAACTACCCTCCGTATGAAAACAGTTCAGTGTTGCTAGAATATTTTAATGTGGTAACGGGTGTATAGTGCTACTTTAGTATGCCTAATAATATTTGACCCACATTTTTTAATATATTGTTTTTGAGCTAATGTGTTCTACTGTGGGTAGAAACTTATGAATTCATAAGCACTTAGGAATTAATTTGTCCTTTTATAACTCCAGTCTCGGAACACCATTGTTTTCAGAGGAGATACAGGGGTAGAAATGAAGAATGGCAGTGGCCCAAGTGTTCTCTGGTGATGAAATTATTGACATAATTGGGTAATACCAGCAAGAAATTGTCCGAATTGACCTTGTTCTCACCAACAAGGAGGGGCTGGTGGGGAATGTGAAGCTCGAGGGCAACCTGGGTTGCAGCAACCACAAAACGGTTGAGTTCAAGATCCTTAGGGCACCAAGGAGGGCGCACAGCAAGCTCACTACCCTGGCCTTCAGGAGAGCAGACTTTGGCCTCTTCAGGGATCTGCTTGGCAGAGTACCATGGGATAAAGCCCTGGAGGGAAGAGGGGCCCAAGAAAGCTGGGTAATATTGAAGGATCACCTCCTCCAAGCTCAGGAGTGATGCATCCCAACAAAGAGGAGGTCAGGCAAAAACGCCAGGAGGCCTGCATGGATGAACAAGGAGCTCCTGGACAAACTCAACACAAAAAGGAAGCCTACAGAGGGTGGAAGCAAGGACAGGTAGCCTGGGAGGAATACAGAGAAATTGTCCAAGCAGCCAGGGATCAGGTTAGGAAAGCTAAAGCCCTGACAGAATTAAGTCTGGCCAGGGACAGCAAGGGCAACAAGAAAAACTTCTATAAGTACGTCGGGGATAAAAGGAAGACTAGGGAAAATGTGGGTACTCCGGAACGAAATGGGAGACCTGGTTACCCGGGGTATGGAGAAGGCGGAGATACTCAATGACTTTTTTTGCCTCAGTCTTCACCAGCAAGTGCTCAAGCCACACCGCCCAAGCTGCAGCAGGCAAAGGCGGGGGCTGGCAGACTGAACACAC